AAAGAGATCGTAGACGTCTTGCGCCGGCTGGAGGAGCGCGATCACCACGGTCTTTTGAAGCGAGCCCGCGAGGCTTTTCTGGGCCGACACGATATCAAACGTGGCAGCCGCGTCGAGGCCGGTGCTGATCTCGTCGAGGAACGACGCGCGCTTGAAGCCAAACTCCATCTCGCCCATGGTCACACGCTTGCGCTCGCCGCCCGAGACGCCGCGAAGCATACTGTTGCCGACGACCGTGTCCTTGCAGTGGTCGAGGCCCAATTGGCGCTCCACGAGGTCTGGCGCCGCCGCTTCGATGGACGCCAAGAGCGGTGTCGCGTGCGGAGGCACCGCCGACAACTGCTCGCGACTCGTGACGCAGCGCGAAGCAAACGAGAGCGTCTCGCGCACCGTGAGTGTCGGGTAGTGCACGTCGCGCTGCGCCACGTACGACGTCCAGCGCGCCAAGTGTGGCATGTCCGAGACACCATTGTACGTCAGCTGCCCGTCAATGCGAAGGCTCTTGGTGGCCTTCACCTGACCGCTCAATAGCTTGAGGAACGACGACTTGCCCGACCGGGGCTGGCCGAGCACGAGCGTCATGGTCCCCGGCGTGAGCGCACCCGTCATCGGGTGCAGAATGTCCTTGCGCACGGTCCGCGACGGCTGGCAGAGGCCACGCACCATCGAGGTGACGTCGCTCACGAGCGTTGGCAGCTCTTGGCGCGTCATGAACGGAACGTCGGCCGAGAGCGCGAGGTCCGTGAAGCGGATGTCGAGCGGCGGCAAGACATCGCCAACCGCGGCTTTGATCTTGTTGTGGTAGGCGGCCGTGCCCTGGGCGAGCAGGTCGTCTGCCCCACTGCAGTTGGTGTGCTGCATGCGAGTCAAAATGGGAAATGAGCCCTCGAGAGTGAGATAGTTTAAGCTGAAAAGCCTCGTTTGGCGCCATGTGGGGTAATGTGTGGTGGGCTGCTGCCGTGTCGCAGGCAATCCACTTGATAGTGACGCCAGCAAAAGCCGATCGCGTGTTCGTCAACTTCACAGATGTCAACGACGTCTGTACCGAGTCAGTACAGATGTCGAGTGTGTGTATGTGTCGTATGGTTTGTGAGTTGAACTATGCAACCGTGTCGAGGGGTTGTGGTGTCGTGCAGTACGACAGTAAAGAGCAACTCGTGTGCTGGGGTGCTCTCTTGCAGCCTATCACTAGGACGGAGTGCCTCCACAAGGACGATGGCTATCAAAAGCTAGGAATGCTTGCGTGAACTGCTCACGTCGCGAGATGGCTCCTCGCATGTACACTGCATGTCCCAATGAGCGCTTTGGCGACGTCTCGCTGTTTTGGAAAAGATGGAATCTTTGCGTGGACGTCAACAACCCTTGATATCAACAAAAATGCATTTGAGCGAGGCTTCTAGTGCCGGTACCTCGGTCGGAGGGGGCCAAAAGACGAAGCCAGCTGCGAACAACCGCGCAAAGGGCCACTTGGGAATCAAAGCTGCCTGAGTCGAGTCGCATTGACTCGGTGAATTTAGGTAGTATATACAGTAGTCTGCTCTTCAATCGACTCGAGTCAATTTGAACATCACTAACCCAGCTTTGTCACTTCTTTCTGGGACGAGACACGGACCCAAACAATCACGACCATACCTGACGTGGCACCACGCCGTCGCTTGAATGTGTTGCAAATTATTCTGCGTGCATGTGATTGGTCTTTTACAAGTCTATTTGCGCCAATCGCAGCACGGTGTTGCCGAGCCAGTCCACGCTGCATTTGATTCGCTAATATCGAGCCAATCCAAGCTCGCCTATTGCAACGTCGGCAGTGGATTGGATTCGATTGACCAATCCATGCAGCATACGACTGGAAGTTTCCGGCAGCAGCAGTCACACGCATCGGTATTGCAGCATGACCAAGGCCGTGACCTTCGCCGCCACCACGTCCGTGCGAAGCTACGCAATAGCCTTCGTCGACGGCGTCCTGCCCGATGAGGACATTGGCATCGGCTTTGCCGGCGCGGTCGTCACCGACAGCCGCCACGTCGACCTCGTCACGAGCCCCAAGCCACGCCCGCGCCGCCTCTCATTTCGCAGCAAGTGCTTGCTCGTCTACGGCGCCTCTTCGCCGCCAGCAGCCGAGGCTGCGTATATCGCCGAGCTGCGGGCATTAGCGGATCGCAGCCGAGGCGACCGCCTCGTCGCCCGCGCCTTGGGCGACGACCCGAGTCCTCGCCGTCGCGAGCCGGGCAAGGAGCGCTGGAGCCCGGCCCAAGTGCGCGCACAAGCCAAGGCAGCCTACGTGGCGCAATGGACACCGACCTTCCATGAGGTCGAGAGCGAGCCAGCCTGCGCCACGTATGTCCCGCCGCCGAGTTTGTTTACAAATCCCTTCGACATCGACTTTGTTCCTCGGTCCGTCGACACCGAGCCGCACAAGAAGCGCAAGCGGGACGACGCCGACGCCTATCGCAGCCTCTCCTTCCAGTGCCCAAAGACGGCGTCTGCCGAAGCACCAAAAGCGTGGTGGCGGCTCTTCGTCTAGCCCTCTGAAAATACATACGTGATCCTTAACGCGGTACCATCTCTAGCTCATGTTCCCAGGATCGAGCCTGCCTTCTCCACCCAACCGGACGCACCCAACGACCTCGCTTGCACATGCAACACTAAAGCAATGCCATGTCGTCGACAGCATGACATGGAAATGCGATGATTATGGCTTGAGAGCTGCCATCGACGTGAGCATCGACGTCATAAAGGAGTTGACCGCAAACGGAGCAGGGGGCGGGCCACCTAGAGACATTTCAGTTTACCAATACGAAGTGCAGGGATTGTACCCATGGCGGCGGCAAAGGCTTCGTGCAGGTCATCGTCCGAGAGCTGGAGGAGCTTTCCGACGACAATGGCATCGCGAAACAAGTTGGTCACGGCCGTCTTGGCCTCGCCACGCGCGCTGTCTTCTGTCTCGTCTACCTCCATGTCGTTAGTGGTCAAGTCATGCGTTCGAGGAGGTACCGGCCAGACTCGCGTCGGCGACGATAGGCGAGACCGTCGGTTGCTGCTTGGCAGCTTGCACGACGCGCACCGCGTCACAGCTATCGCGAGCATCACAAGTGGACCGTGCAGCGTCCAGTCGTACCACGGAGCGTCCGAGTAGCCAAGTACAAAGTCGGCCGCTTCTTCACTCAAGTCGACAAAGGTGCTCTCGGTCGGGATCGCAAAGCCCACGTCTGCATTCAAGAGCGAGAGCGCGTTCGCATTGCCGCCGGCGATCAGTGCGACGACCTCGCCGAGGTCCTGAAGTGTCTCGACGAGCAGGTCAATCTGGCTCGGCGACCCACCCTCGATGACCACGCACGGGTGCTCGAGCAGCAGCAGCTTCCACTCGGTAAACGTGTTGGCGATCGAAATCGCACTCGCATCCACAACTTTGGGGGAGAGCGAGTAGCTCTTATCACTGGCGACGTCCTTGATCGTCATCTTGACCCGCGAAATGGACGCGAACCGCCCAGAGGACGCCACGCGGCGCGGCGACGATGCGCCGCTGACATCAAGCTCGTCCGACGACGTGCGACAGGGCCGGACCATGGGGCTATAGACGACGTCCCGGACAGGCTCTACGAATCGGAGCGTGAGGTAACACGCCGCATACAGTCACTCGTCATCAATGCACCCGTGACGATGTACAAGTTGACGTCGACGGCTTGGCAGTGCGACGCCAAAGTCACGAGGTCGGGCTGCGCATGGTCGACGAGGCCGAGCGCACCGAGGTAGACCATGTTTTCGGTCGGGAAGTCCATGTTGGCAATGTCAAACGTGCAGCCGACCGGGTACATTGCCGGGTCGAGGTAGAGCTCTGCGACGCCGACGACAACCTCGCCCTTGCTCTCGAGGCCCTCGACCATCGCCGAGACGTTCTGGAGATCGGTCGTGTCGAGCGGCAAGAGCTCGGCGTTGGCCTTGCGGACCTTGCCGCAGCGAGAGAGGACTTCGCGCGCGGGCCCCAAGAGCACCACAATGTGGGCGCTGCACTCGCGGTCGAAGTGCACGTACACGGCGCAGCCGCTCACGGAGCCCGCCGTCGACGCCGAGAAGCGCGACGTCGCGGGGTCGTGGAACCGATCGCAGAAGCGACTGATCGCTGCTTGGTCGCGCGAGAGCTCGTCGGGCGAGTGGCGGCAGGCGGCGAGCGCGCGGACCATCGCGCTCGCATCGGCGTTGGCCTTGAAGGTCGAGAGAAGGTACGCGGCGACCGCGGCCTCCGTGTCGTCGGCCGTGCTCTCCGAGAGCGTGAGCCCGGCGTCGGTGGCCGTCACGAGCGCCGGCAGGTTCGTCCCGAACGAGATGGTCACGACGGTCCGCGCAATCACGCACTTGTGGGCGACGACGACCGCCGAGACGTTGGGAGCGCAGACGGCAGCGACGGGTCGTGCTTGGACGCGACGCCGAGGCTCTTTATGTCGTCGAGCAGCTTGGCATTCGTCGTTAGCGGGCGGCAACCTTCCTGACTCAGAACAGTGTGCGAGATGACGCCAAGGACAGTCTCGGCGCCGATGCGGACGACGATGCCCTTCCGCTGCCCTGCGTCACGCTCGTGCCATAGAAGAGCATGTTGGGCGCTTGCATGTATGGAAGGCTCACGCCTGGCGAGTCAAACACCGAGGCCACGCTGGCCACGCGTGGCAAGAGAGACGCGTCGCCGTTGAGTGCGTCGTGCGAGACCCAGAGATCCTCGGCCTCGACGAGACGGATGTCGGCAGGGACGCACTGCCCCGCCTTGATGGTCACGACGTCGCCGGGCACGAGGTTCTCGGCGCGCGTGTGGATCCAGTTGCCGTCGCGGACCACGGCCACGAGCTCGTGGATCGCGCCATGGCCCGCGTCCGCGTCCGTCGGCAGCAGGTTTGGCGAGTGGGACAGGCTCGCCTGGAGCTCGGCAAGGTACCCGGACAAGAGACCCGTTGCGACGCTAGTGCGGAAGCGAACTTCGAGGGCCGCGATGTCGAGGAGGTGCTCGTCCATGGCCCGGCGCGGACTCGTGCTGATGCGGCCCATGATGGCCGCCACGCTATTTTAATACAACGGCCGTCGCATCGACTCGGTTTTTGTATGGCTTTGTGGGAAGATTAAAATGTGGCAACGGCGGAAGGCCATTGGGCGAAAGATCGCGAGCAGATCTTTCCTCGACCGCAAGCCGCAGGGAGTGTGACGAGGGCACCGAACGCCAAGCTGCACGGGTGCAAGCGACCGATTGAGCTCTGCACTCTGTTGCTGCGAGCTGGACCTCCGCTAACGGCTGCTCCGTGCTCCATGCTAGCAGCGACCAACGGTTGTCGTGTGCGAAGGACGGCGCAGAGAGTGCGGCGACGACGCTGCTACGCTTGCACTTGGCGGTACAGCCAAGGAAATGCATTATACAGCCTTGCGACGAGGCCATGGAAGAATGCGCCTGCGGCTCATTGCCATGCCAACACGAGCCGGGCATCGATGCAGTTGTGCATCTTTGAGCACGTCGCCCTTGGTGGTACATGTCTTTCAGCGAGTCGCGACTGCTTCCTTTGACGCCAGCGCACCCAACACGCAGCATGCCCGACAAGCTTCCCATCATCATCTGTAGGATGCCCGTCCGGATACGCGGCACCAATCCTGCGGAAAGTGTCCCAATTACCGGCAGGATGGCGACAGCGACGTGCGCCTCAGTTTGCATCTTGCCGCAATGGAGCACGTCGTCTTGTTCAAGTGGAAGGAGGACGCGTCCGAAGCCGCGATCGCCGACATCGGCGCTGGGCTCGTCGCGATGCGCGACAAGATCCCGGGCGTCGTCGACCTCGCTTACGGCCAGGACTTTACCATCAACCGCGCCAAAGGCTTTACGCACATGCTCATCGTGCGCCTCACGGGCCGGGACATGCTTCCGGGCTACGCCGAGCACCCCGAGCACCAAAAGGTGCTTGTCAAGATCCGCGAAATCGCCGCCGACATTATGGCCATGGACTTTGAGAGCCCGCGGTTCGCGCCGTCCGCCTAGATGTGAAATTGCGATTGTTCAATATACGAATTTGGCTACTTTGTCGACTTTACCGCACGGCCCACCCACTCTATACAGCCCTTTTGGTACACACAACCTACGTACATCATCATTGATGTACATCGTCAACACGACGGTTCAAGCTCGGAGCGTTGCATCTTGGTAGACGCTATTCAAGGACCCTCGTCGCCTGAGCTCGATCTTGGTACGAATGAATATGTGCAGGTTTAGTGAGAGTGTCAGAACTCCATCGTTGACGCGCTTGAAGGAGCGTCGACACCGCGGGAGGTCGCCTGTCCTTCTTTTCTCGAAACCCTCGTTAACCTTCGAGATTTCCCGCCCTTTTACGCTACAGCATTTGCGAAATGGGCCTCCAAAAGAACTTTGCGGACCTCAAGGCGTCGTTCAAGCGTCCGTCCAAGGCCAACGAGCCCAAGCTCTCGGCGGCCGAGTACGAGCGGCTTCGGCTCGAGCTGGAAGATATCTTAACCTTGTACGAGCCATCCCAGATTGGCACGGCGGCGACGCTGCTCAAGCACTATGACGGCCTCGAAGCCGAGCTCGTCGATTGCTACCGCGTCTATTACTTGAAAGAGTCGCGGTCCAGTGATCCGGACGACGACGAGCACCCAAACCAAATGGCGGTACCCAAGTACTGCAGCGGCAACAACGACCTCGAGGATCACAAGTCGCGCTTTGCGACGGCGGCGGCGTTGCGGAAGCGCCTCGCGCTCTCGTCGCTCTCGTCACTTGTGCCGTCCAAACTCCGCGTGCGCAGCGCCAAGAATCACAAACCCTCCAGTGCGACGAAGATGGACAGCATCCGCGGCCCCGACGTCTGGCCCGAGACATCGCCACCCAAGCCATGTACGACATGCGGTCACAACTGATCCATCACCTTATTCATGGATACTCTAGCGGGCGCCCCCGCGCATGGCTTTCGTCTCCCCAAGAAGACGACGCTCGTCGAGTTGTTGCAAAAGTACGCGACCCCTAGCCCCACCCTAACCCTCAAACCACCATTTCTAGAGTCAAGCTGTCCCGCGATGCGACGCAGCCGTACATGGGCAGCTACCGCAACACGTTGTTGACTTATACGATGTAGGTTGGAGCCTGACGCGGCCCCGCTTCAAGCAACGACCATGTCCTTCCCGGCGCGCTGCTTGGATACGGGCGAGGACTATTTTATGGATGAAGTCAATCACGAGGTAATGAGAGTCGACGTGGACATGGTGGATGATGCCGCGTACTATGATGCAGGTGCTGGCGCGACAAAAGGACGCGCTGTACAACAAGCGCAAGAGCTTCCGCGACAAGGTCGTTGTATTCCTCCAGCAGTACGACATGGCGGCCGTCGATTCGGTCGATACGCTGCTGTCGTACGGTGGCAAGACCAACGACGAGATCTGGGACGACCTCCAAGTGCGTTCGCCGACGCTTCTGTCGCCGACGACCATGTACATGTAGATGATATTCATCTAGTGTGTGTGTGTGGGTAGATCCAATACAAAGTGAACCAGCGATCGCGGCTTCTCCAGTTGTTTCAGACGTACGACCCGGCGCACGTGGCCGACGTTGATGCACTTCTGGTGGAATATGCTGCCAACGTACGTTGCCGACATGAAGTCTTTTGTACTGTGGTCAATTTGCGACGTAGGTCGAAGACATGATTGCTTTTTACAAGGCCCAGTTTGCTGACCAAAAGAGCAAGGTCGGCAAGCGCAACGATCCGTGCACATGGACACCCGGCGAACCCAATTCGTACCAACTGCTCCCCACGGGACTCTAACTAGAGGATATACGAAACGTGAAATGGGTCAAATGCGCCGCTGGACAAGGGGCCGAAAGGATCGGGGCTCCGTAGAATTAGTGGACTCGAGGTAGGACGAGCAGACGCTGCACGAGGCAGTGTATCGCAGCAAGCATGAGCTTGGCATGCCCGCAGTGGTTTTGCGTCGGGGGCAGATCTCTGTTGAGAGTGATGTTACCACTTGAACCATATCCGCTGGTTTTTACAAGTAGCCCCTAGCCTTTCAATGAGAGAATCAACATCAGTAGTGAATAAGTGCGCCCTTGCTGATTTTGGATGAGGTGTCTCATTTGCCCTTTCGTGTCGTCCGAATTCCGTGTCTGTGGAGGTGTCCGCAGCGCCACGCTTGGTACTTAAGTTATTCCCTTGGACCATTGAGGGCCGCTTTTCGCACGAGCATCAAACATTTCGCTTCGGCAATTTGGCGGTGGAAGCGACTGATGCGGCGACGACGAAGGCCCGGCAGACTTGTCGGTCGTCGTTCAAGGGCTACCACATGTGACGCAATGGGCGTCGATAACGCATGTGCATCGACTGTATGCACCCTGTCAACGTGCATTTCTCTGTCATCGTCTCTACCCGTTGCCCTACTAGTAGATCATGGCACACGTCGTTGGCGCCTGTCGTGGCTGCCCAGGTGACCAGCGTGCGTTCAAGTTGTGTGTTGCCAGTCGTTCCTTGGTTGACGGTCCAATTGTAATGCAGATGTCGTATTGTCTTGAAACACCCAACGCGATCTTGATGGCGAGCGGACGGTCCAAGCTCACGCTCGAGCGCGTGCTGGGCACGACCGCGCATGGCAACGCGAGCATGAGCGTGAGCAGCGCGAGTGGCGAGATCGCGTACGCGGCCGGCTGCGTCGTCGTCATGTACAACTTTCGCCGGGACAAGCAGACGCGCTACTACCGCGTCGAGAAGCCCGTGTCGGCGCTCGCCTTCTCGGGCGATGGCAGTCTCCTCGCGATCGCCGAGAAAGGCCACGCGCCGTCCATCACCGTTTGGGACGTTGGCACCGGGCAGCTGCGCGCCGACCTCAAGCGCCACACGCATGGCGTCGCAGCGGTGGCCATGAGCACCGACGGTCGCCTCCTCGTCTCGGCCGGCCTCGTCCACGACAAGATGCTGTACGCATGGGACACGGCGACGCAGACGCTGCTCGGTGCGGCACTTCTCTCCACCAAGATCCACGGGCTCGACTTCAGCGTCGGCGGGCGCGCGTTCGTCTCGGTCGGCGACGGCCACGTTCAGGTACGCGCGTCGCTCCGCACACCATCGACGCCCATGCTACATGGACATAGTTTTGGCGCCTCGATAGCAACGACCGGCTCGACACGAGCGGTCAGCTCCTCCCGGATGGCCTCGCGGAGCTGCGGCCGACGCCGGCGACCATGTCCCGCTTGGCCGACGCTGCCTTTGTGGGCGTCAGCTGCAGCGAGGCCAAGACGTTTTGCGTCACGCGCTGTGGGTTTCTGTGCTGCTTTGGCGACACAACCATGGAGCGGCTCGTGTCCATCGAAGCCGGTAAAGGCTTTGCCGTCTCGGTGACCACCGAGTTTGTGGCGGTCGGCGGCGCATCCTCGATCGTCCGACTCTTTGATCCGAGCACGCTCGAGTACAAGATGACACTGCCGTTCCCAGCCCACTGCAGCACGACGCCGCTCGGCGACCACCTCCTCCTGCCACCGACGCCGACGACCTTTCCCGCCGTCGTCGCGGTGCGGGTGACCGGCGCCCACATTGCGGTGCTGTATGCTGACCGTGCGCTTCTGCTGCTCGAGATTCCGACGCGGACCGTGACGCGCGCCTTCCTCTTCCACAGCGGCCCGATCAACGGCGTGGTCGCGATCGGTGCCGTCACAGGCCTCGACGCCCGGCAGCGCGCCCAGTGGGCGCCCCCCGCACCGTCGGCAACGTACCCGATCCCTGACGGCACGTTTGCGACCGTCTCGGACGACCACACGCTGCGGTTGTGGCACCTCGAGTACACCAAAAAGCACAAATTCCCGCAGCCGTGGTGCCACGCTCACAGCAGCGACCTCCTCGCGTCCGTTGTCGTCACTGAAGCGTCGGTCGCCTCCGAGACGGTGCCCGATGTTCACACGCCCCGGGACTCGGCCGACGCGACGCCGGACGCCGGGCTGCAGTGTCTCGCGGTCTCGGAAGCATCCAAGATCGCAGTCGGGGACAAGCATGGACGGATTCACCGCATCGACTTGCAGTGGCCACTCAAGCGACCGGTGGTACTGCCGACGCCGCATGCCAGCGCTGTCCTCTCGATCGCGTATGGCCCGCATGGGCACTTGGCGTCGGGCGGCCGCGATCGGCTCCTGCACGTCTACGCGCCGACGGGCGAGCTTCTCAAGACGCTTGAAAACCACTCGGGCGGCGTGCACTGCGTGCGCTTCTCGGACGACGGCAAGCGCATCGTGTCCGGCGGCGCCGACCATGCGATCGTGTTCACACAGGTGACAGACGACCGGGTCTTTCGCTACAACTCGATGGCGGTCGCCGGCGGCCGTCTCCACGACGTCGTCGTCCTTGGCAACGATCACATTCTCTCCGCCGTGCACGCCCGCATCGACGTCCATACGCTCGTCAGCAACAAACACGTCGCGTCCTACCCGCTCGGCGAACACCACCACATTGGCGTGACGCCCGGACCGTCACTGGTCGCGCTCTCGGGGGCGACCGACAAGACCGTCTACATCGTTGACTATGCGACGGGCGACGTCCTGACCAAGGCAGCAGGCCACGGCGATGCTGTCACGGGCGTTCTCTTTACATTGGACGGACGCCGCCTCATCTCGACGAGCGCCGATGGTTGTATCTTTGTGTGGCGTCTCTCGGAAGACCTCCAAGCACGCTACAAGGCACAGTTGCCTCTCGTCACGGCCCCAGCAATGACCGTCGCCGACGCACCGCCCGTCATGCCAAGTGTTTTCGCGATGCCGCCGCCCGCACCGCCAGTGCCAGTGCGGACGACACCGCCCATTGCGCTCGTTGCGGCACCACCTGCACGAGTCGAATTCAGCCCCGAGACAACGGTTGCGACCGACGTGACACCCAAGACGACGTCACCGGAGATCCAGATCGTCACCAAGTCGTGGCAAGACGGCAAGCAAGTCGTGCCGGGTCCATTGGCACCGCTCCCGATGGAAGACTGGATGAAAACGCGGGGGCCGCCGCTGCCGCCCGTCGAGCTCACACCGCCCAAGACCGCCGACGCGCCGCCTCTCGACCGGGTTCCTGACTGGGCGCGCACGATCAAGCCGCTGTCCTCGGCTCCATCGCCCTTTGTCGTCGAGCCTCGAGGCAAGTGGGGCGCCGCCGGGGTCGTCGACAGCATCGCAGCCGTCGAGTCGCCCTCCGACTCGGACGCCAGCGACGACGACGACGGTGACGACGACAATGGCGGGATCGAGACCGAAACGCTGTACATCAAGCAGTCGAGCGGAGCGCTTCAGTCGGTTGACGTTCCGATCAAGCGCTCGAGTGCGTCGGACGCTGGGATCGCTGAGATTCTAGCAGTGGCGACGGCGGCCACGACACTGGACCACGCGCGGGAGCTGCACTCGAAGCGCAAAATGCAGCGAGAGACTGCCCTCGCTGTTGCTGAGATGCAGTCCAAGCTCGGGCAACTCGGCATTCTCAAGCAGCGCAAGCCCGAGTACGAGAATGATACCTTCACCGCTGGCTACCGCGCCGAAGTCCACGGCGGTGGTCTCGGACGGGTGACGACCGACGTCGACAGTAGCACCGTCGTCATGCAGTCGCTCGACGTCCACTCAGTCGATGTCAAGGTGGTTCCACTCCCCAGTCCGCCGCCACCGATGGTGCCTCGTGTCTCGATCAGCCTTGATATGACATCGACAGACGTGTCGTTGAGCCAATTCATTGCGGGCCACAAGCTGCAGGCCGAGCCCACGCCACCGCCAGTAGAAACGTCGCAGAGCATGGATGCCACGCCCGTCAATGTGTCGTTGAGTCGGTTTCTGGACGGTGACGCGATGGCCATGACAGCCAGCGTTGATTTGACGCCAAGTAACGTGTCCTTGAGCACGTTTACAACCGGGTATCACGCCGCGTCACCGGTCATCCGCCGAGACGCGACCCCAGCGACAAGCGTAGACACAACGCCGACGAACGTGTCGCTCAGTGTCTTCACGGCAGGGTACCACCAAGACATTGGGCCCTCGGTGCAGCCAAGTGTCTGTGATAGCATGGACGTGACGTCGTCTCTCAGTCGCTACGTCACGGGCTATGACGCCGTGCCGACAGCCGTCTCGGCGAGCATGGACGTATGCGACGTATCGCTGAGTACATTTGTCGCGGGCCACGCACCGAGGACCGCGTCACCGCGGGTCTCTCAGAGCCTCGACCCAACGACATCGTCCTTCAGTGCGTTCACGGCAGGCTACAACCGCCGCAGTGTCGAGACGAGCTCAAGTCTGAACCTCGGCAACATCTCTTTGAGTGAGTTTACCTCTGGGTACCAGCCGACCGACACTGTAGCAGCAAGCATCGAGATCCCCGTCAACATGTCCCTGAGCACGTTTGTCGCCGGGCACCGTCCGTTGTCGCCCAAAACATGCGCCGCGGTGACAGGCGACCCAGCGCCATCCGTACGAGCCGCCGTGACGTCCTCCAGCAGCAGCAGCATCGACCTCACCAACGTCTCGCTCAGTCACTTTGTGCATGGACATGATCTCGGTTTCTTGTCCTCCTTTGAACGTCAGTCATCACAGCACTCGACTAGGCCTGGATGATGCTGGCGCGTCACCTCGAACTCCAAGCCACGCATCGGTGATGTCGTCCAGCGAAAGCATCGACCTCATGAACGCATCACTGAGTCATTTCGTTCATGGCCACCATGATCTTCTCGGTACACTTCAACTTATCATGTGGACCAAGGTAGAAGACTTGTGTTTAGAGGGACCTCCCACCCTTCGCCACGGCGCGGAGGCCTCGACCAGCAAGGTCTTTGTGAGCGCTGACGGCGCACCACCATTCAACGACGTGCTTCAGTATGTCCAACTGGAATCCATATTTGTCACGACTCCTTGTAGGGACTTGCATGCGCAGGTCGGCGCCACTGTCGACCTCTTCGCCGACGTCGTTGCCGTCAATACGGCCGACACGGAAGGTACAGTCGTCGATACGGCGCCAGGTGGCAGAGTCATAAGTGGCGTAGCCGCCGAAATCGCCGAGATGGCACGGCTCCTCCAGCTCAAGATTGCAGCCTACGCTGCGCGCACGACGTAGGCATTCAAAAGCGCTCACTTCGAACCCTGCAACGTCATTGCTTTTTGTGTTAATTCTTCAAAGCGGCTGCTTGGTAATCGCAGACACGGGTTCCATCGGTCGCACCACGACGAATCTAAGCTTGAAGCGACTGGAAGAGCGATGTGAGACTGCGCAAGCCCGTGCAGAGGCCGTCGTCGCGCGTTGTGACGTCCATTTGAACGTGCGCGAAATCGATGAGACGCACGTCGCAGCGCGTGCCGGGGGCCGCCGCGTCGTACACGAAGAGGAGCGAGCTCGCAATAAAGTGGTAGCGCGCGTTCGAGTCAAAGTACGTCTGGAGCGCGGCAAGTTTGCCCAGAATCTGGTGCGCACCAGATATATGTGTGAGCATGCATGTCTGGACATGCGCGTACCTGGGGTACAACTGCCGCACGGATCTCGGGCGATGCAAAAAAGGTCGCAAGCCCAGCACGCACCTCGTCCAGCGTCTGGAACGTGCGGCAATGGTACTTGTCATACGACGTGTACTCCGATGCGACGTCATCGTAGACCTTGATGGCTTGGAGGCGGAAGCCGACCGTCGCTTGCAGCGGAAACTTGCGGGACTCTTCCTCGACCTTGGCCGCCGACGCGTTCGGCTCGTATGACTTGGTGCCCATCTTGATGTCCATGACGCACGGGCGCGTCATGCCGTGCAAGAGGTTCTCGAGCTGGATGTAGCCTACACCGTCCATTAGAAGAGACCGCGTCGACGTCTCGTACGGCGGCCAGAGAGCGTGACGTCGCCGTCAAAGGCGGGCAGGAAAGGGCGCAGCGCAGCGTCGTTCTGCGCGACCACGTAAAAGGCCCACTCGCGCTCGCCACGGTTCTTGCTCTGGAAAGGCTTGAGCAAGCGGCCATCGTAGAGCTTCATGCCTACGCCGGCGTGAGCGGCGACGAGGCCATGACGGCGTACTGGTCTGTTCGCATGCGTGGCCGCCCACTTGGTGGGGCATGGCCTCGAGCGCCGGGCGTCGTGTGCGCTGGTAGAAGACGGCGGCAGCGAGGCCAGCACCCAGCGCGACCGCGACCGCAGCATACGTCGCTCCGCTGGTCATCGCTGGCGGAATATGCGACACGCAGCGAGTGTCTAAACACACGCAACAAAAAACCGCACCCGAACACCAAGGAGCAGCTTCCTCGTGCAAGCCCGGGCAGATCAAAGTAGACTTGCTCGGATACGTGTCCGATGGCGAGCAAGGGCCCAGCGATGCTGCCTCCAACCAGCGGGCGACCGAGTCACACGGTTCCATTGGAGCGCAAAGTCTCAGGACACGGAATGCCAAGCCAGTAATAGTTTGTACCCCTGTGCCAAGCGCTGTCGGCTAGCGGAGGTTCAAAGCGCGCCGTGTTGCTTTGCTTGGCTGGACACTCATGGCGTGGCCCCTTTGCGTCGCCATGACGTCACTGGGATCGTCCGTAGGACCATCATCTTGCAGTAGTCACCGTACCAACGTCGGCGGGCGCGGGCTTATTGTGCCCCTTATTGTGGGTGCTCAAACAGAGGCGCTGCTTCCTTGTACTTCTATACTTCTATGCTTTGCGTTCGTTTGACCCTCGCACCTTGGAACACTATTGACCCGACTGCCTCTCACCAGGCAGTTGCGATCGCGTCGATCTTTATGGTTGTAGAGACATTGTGCATTCTTGAGCAGCCGTTCTCATGAACTGACCGAGAACTTCCGAGGTGGGATGCAGCATGAGGACCTTTACATGTTTTGCGAAACCGAAACATCCCCGCGCCTTACGTAGCCTCGTCGTCAAGGAGTCGATTCTTGGACCGGGAGAATCGTCCTGATATACAGCTCTGGGTTCTTGTCAACAAGCGAAGAGAAACTCCAGGCGACGATACATTTCTTGCTGTGTATGCGGCTCTTCGCACCATGGTAGTTAAGTGCGGAGAGTCGCGCAACCAACCCTTCGGATTTGGAGGGTCGCACAACCACCGCAGCCAAACCTTCGGATTTTGTGTGGCTTGGCGACTGGAATACATCGCGTTGCATTGTGCAATTTCGCGTCTCATAGCTCAATGCTCTCTCATCTGCCTCTGCTTGCGCTGGGCGCGCTCTCCGCGTCCGTCGTAGCCAACAAGTTGGCCTGCGGTGTCGTGCCAGATGGCTGGACACAGGTGCCGGGTGACTACCTCAAGGTGGCGTACGACGGCAAGACGCTCTGTGCGATCGATCTGCAGTACCAACTCGCCTGTGCGGCCTCGACGACGAGTCCGATCCCATGGTCGGCGATCCCAGGCGAGTTCGCTGACATTGGCCTCGCCAACGGCGTCCTGTACGCGCGCAAGCACGACGTCCAGGGCACGATGGTGGTGACCAACTCGGTCAGCAACGTGCAGTGGGCGACCGTGAACCTCAACTACGGTGCTGAGAAGCAAACCAACTTTGCATTCGATGGCTCGACGCTCTGCGAGGCGACGGACGCTGGTCGCTTCGTCTGCACCCGCACGACACCTGGTGGCATCCCGTACACGTGGACCAGCGTCGACGGCAACATTGTGCAGGCGGCGGTGCGTGGCAGCACTCTTTTTGGCGTCGACGCCACCGGTCGGTTGTACAAGGGCGCGACGGCATCGGCACTGGCGAGCGGCAAGGGACAGTGGGAAGCCATGTCCAACAAAACGCTGTCGCAAGTGTCGTACGACGGGTCGCAGCTCTGCGGTGTCGACAAGAACAACCAGGCGCACTGTACATCCGGGTCGCTAACTGCATCGGCGAAGGCGCCATCGCAGTGCTGCTTCAAGGATGGCGACGTCATTCAGCTGCAGTCGGACACGGGTAAGTATCTCGGTCGCTGCGGCGGCGGTTGCATTCCGGGGGCAGCATACCCGGACTCGGCGTTCGTTCACGTCTCGGATCCGTGGGCGGCTGACGCTGCATGCGGTCGGTGGACGGTCAAGAACATCGGCAACGGCAAAATTGCGCTGCAATCCGACTCGGGGAAATATCTCGCGCGCTGCAATGGGTGCGCCACGAACGCCAAGGCGACGTACCCGGACGAAGCGTTCGTGCACAGCACCAACCCATCGACGGCGTTCACGCAGTGGAAGTGCGTCGACGCGGGCAACGGCAAGATTGGGCTCCAGAGCGACACGGGCAAGTACCTCGCCCGCTGCAACAACTGCTTTGGCACCAAAGTATACCCTGATGTGGCGTTTGTCCATGCCAAGTGCTGGTCGGACGGGGCGTACGCGCAGTGGACCGTGTACAAAGCCAAGGACAAGCCCCGGGCGAGCCAGTGCCCGGTGCCAGCACCCGTCTTCCGCTGGCAGTCGCTGCCCGGCGACTGGGAAAGCATCACGTCGTACAACGGCAACGTCTTTGGCATCGACACTACAAACCGCTTGTTCACGCGCACTGTGAGTGCAACGGCCAAGGCATGAACAGACAATCTGTCTCGTTGGAATCGTATTAAAGTATGTAAATGTCAATCAATATATGTCCCAAGCCAAGGCTTTTGTCCCAGAGCACCCGCTCGATAGCGTCGCGGTGTCGACAAGCCGCTTGATAAAGGAAGGCAACAGAATTGCGTGGATCCGTAGAGCTCTGTGTGGACTATACTGCGGAGCGGGGCTCGGGAGTGCGATTATGGTAAATTCACAAGCGTGCAGTCTTCCCGTGTCCTCGCCTTCGATAGATTACTTGTCTGATGGTCACTGGCTAGCCTTATGGCCTATTCTCTTGACTGTCCTCCCGTGATTATCGTGCAGCATTGTGATTTCTCAGCAGAAGGCGTCGGAATCGATGGAATCTTCGACTTCGCGGCACGGACTTTCCTCTTGAGCCACGTAGCTGCTAGTCGAGGTAGACAACCAACCTCTCTCGTCTGACGTATGGTGCAGTGTCGTTGGCGGTAGCTGCTAAAAAACACCAAGTCGCATCACTTGTCATCACTACTTTATTGCGACTTGAGCTCTCAAAATAACCTGATCACAGATTTTTTCGAGGCGTGAAGCAGCTAAAGAGTGGTGCACGCAAGGACAAAAGGTTAACGGCACGTCACGAGACAACATCGAGGACGATGCCTTCGAGATATGGAGCTCTTGGGCCAGGCAAAGAAGAACAGCAGACAAGAGACGAGCAAGCCTTGATTGATGGAATGTTTGGCTTCACGAACTCTTAGTGGTTGCTACATCGAACAACCTCCAACACTTCTAGCCTTCGAATTCGGTTGGTATGCTACGGGACTCGGTCATATCGATGACGCATTGTGCAATTTCGCGTCTCTCTAGCCATGCTCTCTCATCTGCCTCTGCTTGCGCTGGGCGCGCTCTCCGCGTCCGCCGTAGCCAACAAGTTGGCCTGCGGTGTCGTGCCCGATGGATGGACCCATGTGCCAGGGATGTACCTCAAGGTGGCATACGACGGCAAGACGCTCTGTGCGATCGATCTGCAGTACCAACTCGCCTGTGCGGCCTCGACGACGAGTCCGATCCCATGGTCGGCGATCCCAGGCGACTACGCTGACATTGGCCTCGCCAACGGCGTCTTGTATGCGCGCAAGCACGACGTCCAGGGCACAATGGTGGTGACCAACTCGGTCAGCAACGTGCAGTGGGCGACCGTGAACCTCAACTACGGTGCTGAGAAGCAAACCAACTTTGCATTCGATGGCTCGACGCTCTGCGAGGCGACGGACGCTGGTCGCTTCGTCTGCACCCGCACGACACCTGGCGGCATCCCGTACACGTGGACCAGCGTCGACGGCAACATTGTGCAGGCGGCGGTGCGCGGCAGCACTCTTTTTGGCGTCGACGCCACCGGTCGGTTGTACAAGGGCGCGACGGCATCGGCACTGGCGAGTGGCAAGGGACAGTGGGAAGCCGTGTCGAATCAAACGCTGTCGCAAGTGTCGTACGACGGGTCGCAGCTCTGCGGTGTCGACAAGAACA